CTCTCTCTCTCGAGCCCTGCCAGCGGCCGCACAGCGGCGCGGCAAACTAACACTGCGGACAGAGATAAGGAAGATTGAGGCGGCCATTTCTGGCTTGTTAGCTGTCATCAGCCAGCCATACACTACGCCGAGGTTCAGACTCATGACCTGCTGGTTAGAAGTTTAACGCCCTAACCGCTGAGCCACGGGCTCGCTGTTTTGTCGGTTGAGATCGGGCATGTTAACAATGGTAGAGGGGCGCGCAATGCTTAAGGCGTTATACTTCTAGCCAACAGGTCAGGAGTTTGAACCACGGGGACTGCATGCCTCGGGGTTGGGTATGACTGGTTGATGACGGCTAGCAGGCCTGAAATGGCCATTTCAGCCTCCCTTATCTCCGTCGTGAATGCTATTTTACTCAGGAGTTTTTATGCCTATTCATGTGGCACACGGTGTCTGGCCGATAAGTACTGATGTTGGGGCCGATCATCCTTCCACTTTATGGGTATGATATTTGTTAACCGGTAGCTACTAAGGTAATCAGTTTATTATATTCAAGCGATCTTACTTTTCCGGGTATGATGTCCCCATTATTTTCAAAGAATATTTAATAAATGGGTCGGGGTTAGATCGCAGTTGATAGCTGTCCCTGTACGGAAAACTCGCAGTTGCCTGTGTTACGGGACCGGTGGTAATAGGGGGTATACGGGTGGGACAATGGCATACAGGCGGTAGTGACTGTAATAGGGTATGTCTCGAACTAAAGCTCATGGCAAATTCTTAGGCTAGTTTATATAAGGAGGAATAAGCAGGGAAGACGCCCCGTCCGCGCTCTGGCTGTCCTTTCATACACGATCACGCGATAATCCCCAGGAGGTCTCGGGTAAAATGACAGAGGGACACCCATACTTCGTGTAGACGGTGTGATAAGATGTAGTTTGGTGGCCCCACCAGATGGGCACAATATTGTTGGGTTTGGAGTTAAGGTTTAGGGTTAGGGGTTATGGTTAGGAGTTAGAGGCTAGTTTTAGGGGGTTAGAGTTAGAGGTTAGGGCTGTCGGTTAGGGTTTAGGATAAGGGGTTATAGGTGGGGGTTAGGGTTATGGGTTAGCGCAACTATTTCTCAACCATTCAACTTACATCCGCGCATTCTCAATAGCCTTTCTTTTGCATGAAACTACTTGACCTCGTCGCCTGTGCGTTCCCCGGTCCCACCTGTAAAAACCCCTGTGACCATTGCTCCCATATGGCAGGTGACTGGGGTTTTTCAAATCAGGTGGGGCTACATAACCACATCCGACCAATAATAGTAATGATGAAGAAAGTAAGATATAGTGAGACACTTGGACTGACGAGAAGGGGCCAGTCTCCATGGAACTGCTTAATAATAGCTTGATTCATTGATATTTTGGCAGATTTTGAATAATTCATATTGACCCAACTGTGAAAAACTCGGCGCCTCGGTGGGATTCGAACCCACGCAGTGAGGGGAATCCCACCGAGGCGCCGGGTTTTTTACAGTTGGGTCAATATGAATAGCTTGATTGGCGACTCGGGGTAAGCTGGTTCCGTCCCTTTGGCTGGAGGCTGCCAACAGGAGTAAAATAACCAACTTTGTTTTTGGTCTCCCGTCTCTGATACATAAGTTGCTCCACTGTCAGGGCTCACTAACCAACAGTTCAACCGTCGCGTCCGACGATGTCCACCGTATGCTACACAGTAGGATGGGACAGGGACGGTGGCTTGCGCTCGCTATCCGGACGACTCCCTCAGCGAAGCTCAGGTCTTAAATAATGATGACGCTGAGTCCACTGTCACCGACTAATGCCGCCGTCGGGGCGTCCATCCTACCGCAAGAACAAGCTACTGAACGTCTGCCGGCTGATGCTCCGGCCAGGTGAAAAAAAACGACGCAGGCCGACATCTTCTGCTCCGCCACTCCTGCCCGCCTCAGTATGTCAGCACTCAAATTGAAAGCCAACCAGTAGATACGGCTTAGCAGGGGCTAAATACGCCTGAATAAGATGAGAGGAGGGGAGGTGGGGGGGGGGGGGTGGATGTGGTCTCGGCACCCATATTTTATTTACCCGACGCTCCAAAGGCAGACAAACTTACGGCGTCGGAGGTGAGACTGTTACCGCGCCTTCGGCATTTAAAGGGGGTAGTAGCCAGTTGGACCCAAAGGCCGTGAGAGTAGGCTCAGAGGTTTGGAGGGTGGTGGGGTTGCTGGGGTTTAGTTTGACCTACAAGATTCAGTTCATTGAAAGGAGACTCATTTAAAAACGAAGGTAGTTGTGCGTGCGAGACCTAGTGGAGGCGAAAGTTAAGCAGCTGAATTACATACGAAACCTCTGAAACAGACAATGGAGTCAGGGTATGAGGAAGATTAATATCCTGGATCGGGGTGACATCCTGGGAAGCTGGCTGCTCTTACGTAAAATAACCGCGCTGGTAAGGAGCACCGTTAAGAATGTCCTGGCAAAAATTTCCAGATTTTTTAACGACTTCAGAGTTTCGGCTTGGGACTGAAATAAGGCTTGGTCGTGGCTGTCAGTTTGAGTGTGCTGCTCTTGCGTTAGTAAGGTTTGGGGTAAGTGTTGAATGATTAATGTTAAGGTCAGGTTTAGACCGAAATGGCAAAAATTAAATACACTCAGGAACCACTGTGGCTGGTGCACTAGGTTGGCGACGAAAAGTCGCGGCGGCAGAAAACTGGGGCGGAGACGATGGACGCTGAGAGGGTTGACCAGGAAGCCCAGTGATTGGGAGGAATATGAACCGCAGACGCACTTACAGGGGCTGATAGTGATGCTGAATTTTGGAAGACAGAGTGTACTTTGTCTTTGGCTTTGTTGCTGACCACCAAGACATCAGGTGGCAAAGGTCACGAACAGGCAACCGACTATATTCCGGATCGACAACCGACAGGGCAACGGGCTCGTGGACCAGTGGTTAGAGGTCGCGAGTTCGAGCCCCGGGTGTTCCACGCTTCGGGGTTGGGTATGACTGGCTGACGACGGCTAATAAGCCAGAAATGGCCATTCCGGTCTCCCCTGTCTTTGTCGGTAATGTCATTCTGCCTATATCATGCGCCGCTGTGCGGCTGTTGGTTGAGCTCGAGAGAGAGAGAGCCCGTAAGGCACAAAGGAACGAGTGAGTTCCGTATGAACGATCGGTGAGCGTCCCCTACCATTATATGTATATATATGAATTATGACAGGTGAATAACGGAGGTAGTATGCATTCCGAGATTATATAATAAAAGGAGAAGGCTCGTCGGAAAATCAAGATATACTCGTGAATTTTCAAGTCGGTAACACCAACCCGTCGTCAGACGAAATGAATAATGTGGAGAGGGGTAATCGCACTAGAGAACAGGAGGGACATCGAGGTTACATCGACAAAACAGACGTCCAAGTGAGGGAAGTGGATAACGTGTTTAGATAGACGCCGGAAAATAGGGGAGGTGTTGAGGGTTTCAGTTATGGCTCTCTCTGTCGAGAGGGGGGGGGGACTGCGGAATCAATGATATTCTAAATGACTGCACACGGACTAGCAGCCGGTGTCTTAGGGTGGACGCAAGTCAGTTAGCCGTGAATACAAGCCTTCGCAACGAGCCTCCAAATCGACATGGCGGTTGATGCTAGTTAGGGTGCCAAGCTTCAAAATACTCTAGCGCCTCTTTAGTGTTGGCCCTGGCGATCACTTCAGTCCCCTCCCAGTTGAAGCGGTGATCACACTCAAGAGCGTGCGCAAACATGAGATACAAGGGGTCCCGTCGACCGGTAGGCCCAACATAAACGCAAGAGCAGTTTGCACATGGAATGCGGTAAATGAAATTTGTTTGCTGCTCCTTCGGTATGGGGTCTTTTGCTCGGGATAATGCTGTGCGCATGGAGGTGCCGAACTGATTTAATTGTCGGGCGATCGCTTCAAAAATTCTTGGCATGTAGGGCAGGGAATAGAATTTCCGTGACACCCCGTCTCCGTTGGAGTCGACGCTTTGTGGTTTATCTGGCGTGTGAGCCTCCCACACACTTTGCTGATATAGGATCTGCGTAGAACGATATTTAACCAGAAGGAAGTAAAATTTCAACTTGAAACCGGTGGTTCTAACGTCTTAAAGAAGGAGACACAATCGCCGAGACAAGAGCCTTATTAGCCTGACGTTTCGGATTCCTACTCGAATCCATCATCAGAGACAAAAAAGCAGAAACGGGGTCTCCCCTCCAAATGGAATAAAAATAAAGCTAGTCTACCTACCTTCGAACGACATACCGGTTTCTACGGATGATCAAAACCAAACCCTGGAACGGTGCAACTAAAGACGCCTTGTTTTCCACCGCGTCAGATATTTTAGTTGTGGCCAACTCGAACTTCCCCATTTACCCTGACTTGTCCACTGTGTACCGAAGGGCCTATATACTGGTCTTTCCCCAACAACCGGCCAATGATGTTGCAGCCTTTGACACAGACCGTAGCCATCACATTTAGATGTAACAGATCCAGAACTAGGTGGAGGTGGGATATCGCTTGGCTTAAATGCTACAATCGTAAGTTTTGTGATTTTAATCGCTATCAAAATCGCATGGATCAGATCTGGGGGCGATTTCTACGAAGGTCGAAGATGCAAAGAACCATTACTGACGGCGAACCTATTTTAGACAATTGTTGTGCGATACGGTATTACGAGGACTGTCTTTTCAAATAGAGTGCTTTCAACTTAAGCTCTTCTTACCTTCGAGAGTTATTTGAGACCACAAATGGAGCGTAAGACAGGCAGCGCCACAGACGTCACGGGACCTTTTTTTAGCTAACGGATGCGCAGACGGTTCTGCTTGCTTGAGGGAAGCAAATTTGATGATATTTAGGGATCAGAATGAGCTCCAGGGCGTACACGAGGCAAAGTTCCAAAAAGGAAACGGAAAATGCGGCCGATAAAGCAGAAACGGGCATTTGCGACCTATTTCAATTCTGCGGGAGACTCCAATGGGTCTTACAACAACTGGAAAGGACTGCATTCACCTGAAAGGCTCCGTTACATGGATGACGAGTTTGTCATCATCATCATCATCATCATCATCATCATCATCATCATCATCATCATCATCATCATCATCATCATCATCATCATCATCATCATCATCATCATCATCATCATCATCATCATCATCATCATCATCATCATCATCATCATCATCATCATCATCATCATCGTCGTCGTCGTCGTCGTCGTCATCATCATCGTCGTCGTCGTCGTCATCATCATCATCATCATCATCATCATCATCAGGAGGAGGAGGAACGTGCTGGAGAATTTCCGTGATCTGCCCAACTCAATCTTCCCTTATATGGAGTTCAAGAAAGAAGAGAATGAACAGCAGCTGCCCTTTCTCGATCTGCCCTCCAGACGAAGTCACAACGGCAAAACAGAAGTAACGGTCTGGAGGAAGGCTCGGAATACCGCATAGCTTCTTAGCTTCTACAGCAATCATCCGGTGGCTAGTAAAAGAAGCTGTGTGAAAACACATTTCAAATGGCTTTAAATGCTTGCTAGCAACTCAGAAGAAAAAGCACGTGAAGCCCGATGTCGCCGCGACCAGTTCATCCGGAACGGCTATCCGAAGGCGGTAATAAGTCGAGGCCTACGTGTTCGCCCCCTGAGGACCAATCTAGAAACCACCCCATAGTACGGGATGCTCTGTCATACATCGACGACGTGTTAGGGGGCGACTGAGCGCACTGCTGCGGGACTGCGTCGGAATTGCACACCAGTTCAAAGCTACGATACGAAGCAGGGCCACGAAAATCAAGGACCAATTAAATCCTAGTGAGCAGTCGGGTGTATTGTGCCGCATCCATTGCGTAAACTGTCCTTGTAGTTACACAGGTCAGACTGAACACATGCTCGAGTCGTGGATACACAAGCATGAGCTAGCTGCGCGGCGGCGTAGCGGATTATCACAAGAGGCTACCGACACCTAGGCAACGGATCATAAGTTTGACCTCACAACCACGAAGATAATGGCCTACGCTAGAAGTAAGACGAGCCGTGAATTGCTTGAGGCCTGGGTTTCGGAAGAGGACCCAGTCAACCTATATTTGGATCTGGCGCTGGCACGCAGAGCCCTGCGCAGTCACCTCCAGACTAACATCACTAATGTCTGACTGACTCATACCTCGGTAACGGATGCTTGTTTTGTTGCCGATTTTATCTCTGACGATGGACCCCCGTACGAGTCTGAAAGCTCAGAAGAGTGAAGGAATGGCTCCGGCAATCAAACAGCCTTCTTCCCACTCATCCCGGTACATTAAGGGGCATTCAGATCAGGTGTGGTGCATGTTGACGGCCTATCTCTGTCAGTCACCACGCCCAACTGGGTGACAGACTCAGACAGTCGACTGGTGCGCAGCAACAAGGAACCCGTCCCAACGTCACACCAACGCCTTCCCCACTAATATTTACCATAAGGCGCCTGCGTTTATTGCTTCGCGCTGGAAGTTGTGGCTTAAAAATGGTCAACCGACGGGATAACTCGGTCCTCCCGGTCAGCGCCATGTGCGTGTATCTGTGGCGACTGGCCGGAGGACTGAGAGTAAGGTTGGCTGGCTCCTTATTAATATGTCCCTCTATGACAGTCTCACTTAAATGGGATCGCGGTCGCTCCTCCCCCCACTTTTCATGAAAATCCGGTACATTGTACGAGGACCAGGTTTTGTGCGGCATGCGCAGGCGGGTTATTCAGTTTCGTCAACCACTGCGTTAGAGCCCACGCCCAGTCTTTTTTTCATTGTTTTGACATCTGTGTCTGCTGGGTTGGGGAGGAGAGAGTGCAGTAGATGCCGCGCAAGTCACCGGCGCTGCGTCCACTTCGTGAGGTACATGGTGGACGTCGCCGGGCGCGACAGCCAAACGTTTACAACAATCTATGATCTAGTTTTTAACATTTGATCCCTAACCGCAAATTTCTCCCCTGGATGCCTCATGCAAGTGCATCGTCAAGATCTGACCTAGTGCAAACTATGGCTGTTAGTAGTGTCCATTTTTCCTTGAAATGTCGAGTAAATGTGTGCAACTAAGCATCAACTGGTCGACCTGACTAGCAAACTAGTCACACTGTTAGAGAGGAAAAAAGACGATCGAACAGTTATTAGTATTTTCTTCTGTACTGGCAACGTACAAAGCGATATGATGAAGGACAATGCGATTATACCGAATGGAGTTTTAAGAGTCAGATTACATAACTTGTGCTAAAGGCCTGTTTGTTTATTGAAAGATGAAATAACACGCTTCCACAAGAGGAAAATTGAATCCTGGCAATTATTGTGCTAGAAAATGTATTGTATTCCTTTTGTCGAAAGACGGCGACTTGCCAATTTGAACAATCTGCATTACGCAGTCTACTACTAGCATTCGGATGTCTCGAATGCAATATAACTGCGAAACTAACTTTCCGACTAAGCGACAAGTTAGCCTCAGGCAGGCGCAGCTATGGTTCGCTTTCGCCGACCCAAAAAAATATCCGGGGTGACAGTTGGTAAAAGGCAACTGAGCAAACATGTGCCTTTTCATCCAACGGTTTCAATATGTTGGTTTCAGACATAAAACATATAGCTAAATGTCCGCACAGATTTCTTTTCCGACTGCTGCTTCATTTAACGTAGTTCATATTGGAAAGGCGTGATGGCATTCGAATCCATCGGGGCTTGCCGATTTGGGAATTATTCAAAATCTGCCAAAACATCTATGAATTACGTGAGCCTGGTAGTCATCTGGTGGATTCTAGGTGAATTACTTAGGAAATCCTGCCTGGGCAGTCAACTTACTGTATCATATTTGGTGGATTCCAGACGTTGCAGTAGGTTGGGCGGGTAGCTTGACCCAAGTGTGATTAAACTCGCGTCGTCCGGCGGGGCCTCGCAGCTCAAGTGGTCAGAGCGTTGGCTGTACTAAAGCGTTCCCCTTGCTGTCGTGGGTTCGAATCCCACCGAGGCGTCGACTTTTTCACAGTTTGGTCAATATGAATTATTCAAAATCTGCCAAAACATCTATGAAATATACTTAACTAATTGGAGTGCCTGATATCCGAATAAATGAAGAGACCATGGTTATAGGAAGTGGATCTAACCTTCAGTTATTTTATTGGTGGCACAAACGGAAAGGGACAAATACGCGCGTGGGCGCAGTGTTAAAACTGCGCCTGGGTAGGGTAATTCGTTACTGGCGTGGCACGGTAATTAAGACCGAACGTATCAAGCGCTTATCGCATCAACCACAAAAACCGCCAGTGAAGGCACAAAGCTAAGGCTAACTTTGTCGGAAGAATAAGAAGGTTCGGTCAGAGGAGTAGTATTTCCCTCAAGTCTATAAGTCAGGCTCAAATTGTCTTTTTCGTTTTACTAAATCCTCTGGATTGTTAGCTTTGAAAGACGAGCGGACTGAGGACTCCTAAGAAGATCTGCTTAGGTTCAATGTAGATGCAACATTACTTCGCTGTGGAAGGATACGCTTCCGAGAGGGTTGTGTTCTGAGTCGCTCCTTATAATTTCGTGTGCCAGAGGGACAGATTTTAAGACGTCGTGTCAGTACAGTCGGAACATTATGGCGAGGACTGTCATATATCTAGGTATTTTTAGGGAATATGTACCTCACTATCAAGTATCACTGGTTTTGGTTGAAAGAAGTGCATTTGGGGGGAAAAAGACACACACCGCAAAAGCTACGGATCACTACCGCTTCTCGGTGAACCTGGTACTCGCTCTATCTGGTCCGTACAAGTCACCCAACAGTTCGACCATCGATTTCAACAAACGCAAATCACGCTACCTGGAAGGGGCGGTTGGTCGTCATGACGTAGGAAAATGCAACAATGGACTCCCCCCTGGAGTGCAGAACACAGGCGCCAGATTGACAACATTCTCCTGTTTTCCTGACCGCAAGAAGACGAATGTGGGCCAAACCAATGGCAACTGCTGGACTGTAGATGATACCACCGTGAAGTACTGGATAAAGAAGTGGTCTGACGAGGCAGACTGGACAGGTTATCGCCTAGTCGGCTTGAGGGCGAGACGATACATCCAGCCACGAAGACCACCTCAGGGGAAGATGGCGCCGAGGAAGCTGAACACTGCAGTACTGGACCACACCGAACGTGGACGTGCTCACACCCTAGTAACGTAAACGCAAACCTGGAGCACATTCAAGTTCTCCATGGGACCACGGCCGTATCTTAATAGTGAACCCCTTCATAAAGATAGTCTGCGGACCTCAGAGCAACGAAACTGCGCCACTGTCTACTTCATGCTGGCCCGCCGCCCTATCAGAAGAGTTGGAAAGCCTGTGGGAAAGACAGAAACTTCAGGTGTTCTCACCCCTTAATTCCCGGTCAGTGCGGAGACCGCAATGGAGGCCTAAACCGTGGCCCTATTCTTAACTCTAACCCTGTAGTTCACACTAACCTTAACCCCAAACTACCTTAACGCTGAATCTGGAATTTGGCGTAGAAATACCTGTATTGCGGGCGGTTCCTGTTCTCATGTCCCCTTCTGGGGAACCATATAAGTAATCCTTACCTCAACACACTTCCCCTGCAATTTTGATACAACTTATCCTGAAGAACAGTCAGGAATCGGTATCAACTACCAAACGAACGTGAAAATGTTCAATATCCCCAGAACACACACCTACGTGAGATCTCGGAGGCGAGGAAATACGTCTTCGCCTGAGGCGGATATGTAGCGAATTCTGAAATCTTCGACTCTTGAACGCACGAACTGCAGACAAGAAGAGATCGGCTATGCACCAACCAGCGCCAGCCGTGGAATACAAGCAAACTTTACTTACTAACGGTAACATTCGCCCACAGTTTTGAACAAGTCATCTTACCTATGCGACACCAGGATCGGCAACGAAATCAAAGGCAAGATCGCAGAAGCTGGTCAGGCTTTGGTCGCCGCATCGGACAATTTGCAAAATCAGACTAGGGGACGAAATCACTTTTTGCATCAGGTACTTTGGATGATACTAAGGGTGAAATGACAGGAACACACTACGAACGCACAGAGGCGACATGTTCAGTCCATGCGATGCTTAACGAAACTGACTTCGATGGAGCGACCACACCGCAAGTTGGTTGAAATGAGTCGGTCAAAGCAGTTCCTCTATCGTGCCGTCACTACAAATATTCGCCACCAGGCCGACTGGAAGCGAAGACAACGACACCCTGGAGACGATGAAATGCCTCATTATTCTTCCGTAGACCGGAAAACAGCTGTGCGGAATCTGTGGACGTGACCTTTCGCCAAAGCTGGAGCATGGATTTGCAGTCAATTTAGACTCGGAAAAACAGAATGCCGGGGACGTGAACTTTGTAATGGACTGACAGGGACCACTGGTTTCAGTGCCTAGCTCTTCCCAACACAACCTGCATGGTCATTCCACGTCCAAAAACCAGCCTTTTTAGATACTCCCGACCATCACAAGCAGGATTTCTGCCAATCCACCTATGTTTCCTCAGGACAGAAGACTCCGGAGAGATAGCTTATGCCAACTGTGGGCCACTGCATTACCTAACAGCGATTTTCCCTTATTAGACGCTATCGAAGGCATTGCAACACAGGAGCTGAAGGGAAACCGCCATCGACTGCACTTTACACTTGCGCTTTGGCCTGGTTGGGGGTTTGCGCACCCATTGTGAGACAGAGTCTGGCCAACAGTCACCGGGCCGCACTAACCTGTTACACCTTCAGACAAGCGCGTGCGCGTGACAACTGAAGCACCACCCATCACTCAGCCAACAAGCCGTGGGGGGTTTTGTCTTCTAGTGTCAGCTGAACCTCTTGAAGACGGAACAGCGACCGCAGAATGCTGGGTCAAAAAGCACGTCTAGAAATCTCATCAATTAACTGATACGGTGCGGCCGCCGTGTTTGTACACTAGAACGGAATTAATCGTCGCAGGGAAGGGACGAAGTCAGCAAGTAAGCATCAAGTGAACTTAACCCATTGATAGGTGGTGGGTGTCACTCAAAACCACCAGCCAGTATGGTACAGCGAGGCACGCCTTGCAATTTGTCTATTCTACTCCATGCATATCAAGACTAGAAAAAGCCCGTAGATTGCGTGGGAAGCCGTGCGCAAAGCAGCATTAATGAGTGCAGGTTAGTTATTCTGCGCGGCGCATCTTCAAAGTCGCTGAACGCAAACAAGAGTTCTGCGGAAATATTACCTTGACTTCAGCCGGTGGTAGCACAGGGATCCCTGATGCACAATCTGTATTCACGTTAGAAAAAGTGTTTGAAAGGACAGATGGCTTCAGCCATCCGTGATACATTGTTTGACCGCTGAAGGCTCTGAAAAGAGCTTCTAACCTAGGCGTAGCTCAATCTTCTACAAACATAGATGACAAATCCAAGAGGCAACTAACGTGGGCCCTCTACATCTTAAAAGACAGTATATAAAAACTGGAACGGTGTGACAGCGTCATAGCTGCTAAGGACCCTAATCAGTAAGACGTCCTAAAGAGCTAAGAGCTACGGACGTTCCAAAGAGCTATAACATGGACCTCATTTACTTGAAGGAAAATGGTGATACAATCACAAGTTTGAGTCGAAAATCAATCAATAAGGCAGGGCATCTTTGAAGACAAAAGCAGAACTCGTTTTAAGAAAACAAAGTAGCCACAACCAAATTCTCGTGGATGCGACAGAACCTTGTACAGGAAGAGGATATAGGGATAAAAAGGGAGTCTCAACAAACTAAACAAGGCAATAATGTATCTTCGGAGTCGTGTGGAAAAACGAGGACGCGTATCACCGAAGGTTAACACGTTCTCTCAGACGGCTGGCGTAGCCGCTGCCTCTGCGGCCACCTCTGCCCCTCCCTCGGCTGAGCGGTGGAGCATAATAGTTAGGGGGTTCGCTGGGAAATTCGGACTTGTAGGTGTCCCCTCTGCTCGTAGGTCGCCGATCAAAGCCTGGTTGCGGCAGATTCTCCCCACCCGATCCGTACATACAATCAAACTTAGGGGCTGAAAGAACGTCCCAACTAGTCGAACCTTTGGTTTGAGGAGGAAGCTGGTCGATGAGGTCATTAGATTCTTCTCTGGGTTGGAGATAGTCCGAAGAGTGGTCCCAACAACTTTGCACCGGGTTCGCTGGTGCCAAACCTTCTTTGTCGGAGAAGTCGACATTCCATTCATCATAATTCCCAGCGGAATACGAGCGGTGAAAGTTTTCAACCCCTTCTGGAGAATCGGGACATCGACTCTGTGATGAGAATTTCGGAGGTCTGTACGAGGGGCAACCGTCATTGGCGTTATAAGTTGGACGACTCCAGCCATTGTGGTCGCCAACAGCTGACACCTCACAAGATTCACCTCCAACGGCAGCTGGACGACGGACTGAACCAAAATGAGAGCCATTTCCTCTTGACAAGCGGTCTGAGGCATGTGGCTGATCAGCTTTGAGAGGGCCCCGAACCCAACCCTGAGGTGCCTTAGAGAAGTCAGCAGTCACAACGCTATCAGTACCAGTGCGTGCATCTGGAGGCTGACGTTCCCAGTTGAACTTTGTAGGGGAGCCATTAGGTTCAGTGTAGTCTTGTGGGTGCGACATATCTGTACCTGAATAGCCGCAAACACTCGAGCCGCCCATTGAATTGGTAACCTTATTACGGACACCCGCTCCACGTGTCCATTTGGATATAGACGAGTCATCGGGACGTTCTTTGGACGTAAGGAAAGAGGCATTTTTCCTGGCGTCCCCTCCGGGTACGGAAAATTCACTTTGTGGACAGTCCGGAGGAAATTCTCTGCCGACTGACTTGGGATTGCTTGTGCCCTCATCTGCAAAATCGGTTGCCGAAAGGAATCCCCCGGTAGCTTCACATCTGGATCGAAAAGATGGAAAACTCGTGGTACCAAACGAGTCTGGACCGCTATTGATCCTACGCGACCCGTTCTCAGTAGAAGAGGAATTCAGCACGTTTCCAGATATACTTTCAAGGGCTTCCTTCTCAGATGTTAATATGGCATAGTCATTCTGGAGACCTCTAAGGTTTAGTGGGACCGTGGTATAATCGACTTCTGGCAGGATAATATCCGTGGAGTTGAGAAGTTGAAGCATGAAAGAAAGATCAGATATTGTAGCCACACACGATTCCGATACCTCTGGGCCATTTGACGGTACGAAAAGTCTTGGTAAACGCGAGCGTATGGCCATTTGGGCGCGTGATTCAGCGGGCACCTGATAAAGAGATCTTGCAATCCAAAAGAACAATCTATTCGAAGGGAAAACATGATGGTTGGGATAACAGCTGAAGGAAGAGCAGAATTCTTTAGATCCATTAGAAGTTTCGGAAGAAACGGCTTCGACAAAATTCAGCAAAGAAACCAGCTCAGCATATACATCTTGGATCTCAATGGCCGAATGGACGATATCCTTATCCGAATACTGGCCTTCACCGACTTCCACAGACGAGACTTCACGCTCCAAAGAATCAGCAACAGTAGCGTAATGGGCTAAGGACAAGTTCCATGGGGTAATTCGGTTGAACTGACTGGCCAAAGCACACACGCATGCAGAGAGGACAAAGGGACACTCACTATGTCGAAAACATGGGTTGTGGGAAGGATCCTGACGTTTTTGTGTATGCCATACAGCCAAGCATAGGGCGAGATCATTCAGCCAGTCAGGTATATGTGGGCTAGGGGAAAAGGAAAACTCGCCATAAATGAGATTTCTCGGCGAAGGTTCCACAGCAGTAGGTAACAAGAGTGGACGAAGACTGACGCAAGAAACGGACAGATCTTTGGATGAATTCGTATCAACCTCAAAAACATGTGGGGGCGTACCGCTAATGGTTGAAACACCCATGAGCAGTGACTCGTATGAGTAAATGAAGCAGAAGTGAAGAAATCGTAAAACTTGGGACTTTTTACAGATCGACGGTAAATCAATCAAGTAATGCATATTAAATGGGACAATAAAGCCAGTGCCTTTATGGATCGCAGAAAACATCCGCGGTTGGATAAACCCAAAACGATATGCTTTCAAGATCGAGATCGGCCAGTGGTGCAATGTGGAGGAGCTACTAGTATTTACAGATGACAGCTGAGTAGGAGGCTCTGAATTGGAGTCCGGACAAAGCAGTGAGGAGACAATTTTTTCGACATCGGAGGCAACTGGTAAATCTAAACTTTCCACAATTTGGAGGGCCTCTTTGAGATCCAGCTGAGTCCGCGAAACCGATTCGGGCACGCAACGCGATACAAGAGACTTTAGGCGGACATCCTTGACAGTGGACGTAACAGACACAATAGCAGAGGTCGGTCCGATGTCTTCAATCCACCTAGCTAACTTGTGGGCATCTCTGCTGATTTTCCAATCGAAACGACCGAACACATCACTGAGTTCTGCGTTATCAACTTCGTCCGGCAGTTTGAGACGGGGACAAGACTCGTCGCCAAATAAAACCCCAAATATTCGACAAGCAATGGGGCTGAGGCGGCTTAAAACAGATTCGGCGGGATTATATACATGCGCCTGTAGAAAGTAACGAGCTTTTGCGTCGACGGGCGCTTCAGAAGGCATCCTAATAGGCGACAGACACAAGCCTGAAATGGGTATAAACTTCAGTCTTGAGCATAACTTCTGGGCGTCTTGTGAAGGATTGCACGAAATTATGAAATTGTCCGAATTGTTGCCGATTAATGGACAGTCAAGCAGGACAGCTAGAGCGGCAGCGGCGCCTGCAGTCTGTCTCGTGCAGAATACATATTTTATGCATAGGTCCTGTAAAACAGATAACAACACTAAATGGTTCGGTGGAAGCTTAGTCTTTGAGCACCGAAAACGAGACGGCGGTAATTTCAGGTCCGCAGTCGGCAGAGAGATGCGACTTTGCCGAAGCCTTTCCCACTTGGAAAACCACTCAATACCCTGCAGACTAAATTATTTAAAAAAAAACACTCACAGCCGAGTCGCCGAGTCCATTAAACACAAACAATGGTTTAATCTCGCATTCGAGGAAATTGACGAGGGCACACTTGAAGTTCAGTGCCAATTCCAGAGGGCTTAATCCATACCCATCAGTTGGGTGCTCCGAGTCCCACAGGCTTTCTACAAATTCTGTAGCATTTACGACTACTGTCGTGCTATGCAGTGGCACGACATAAAAATTCAGACAGTCGCCCTCGATAACACTCGACAACCCTGGGATGCCCATTTTATCGAATGTGCCGCGCACTGTAAACACTCCAACTCTTCGCTGCTAATTAAAATGCTCACCATGGTTTCTCGGACAGAGAAGGCTAAGTTTTCCCAAATTGATTTCGCAATTCGAATAACTTTTTTCTCAAAAAACCGAAAGAAAATGCACTTCTCCAAAGCAATAAAGCTCGGATTAGGTAAAAGAGGCGACGAGTTGGAAGCCACCTACGACAACTCACTAAACTAAGGTATGGTGGCTGGAGGCTGATCATCGAGACACGAGCAGATTTATACAGCGTCATTACCTCTGTAAGCCAGCTGTTTGTTCACGCATGCATGCGTTTCTGATTCTGTATAATGGAAAAGCTATGATCGGCTGAATGAAGGCAGAATAGACCGCAGACAGTGGTGTCTTAATCAACGCTTTACTCTTCAGTTAAGTTTATTGTATATATGTATATTGAAGGGTTACAGGCAGAGCCCTTGATGACCCTATTTATGTACAATGCTTTCTCAGATTCATACTCAAAAATAATATTAAATTGCAGGCATTTAAAATGTGATTGGGTCACAGTTCTATCGTAATCATAAGGTAGTGCATGGGGTCTCTGTAAATTAGTGCGGAAGATTGTATATGACAGATTTTACAAAACTGGCTGTGCACAGTCATGCTGTACAAGCCGATTTCTGTCGAAAACTAGACGAGTAAGTTTTCTTTTAAACACACAAACTGTGTCAGCCGTCACCATCTATCTTGGAATCGCGTTCCACGGTCTGACAACCCGCTGGCTGAATGAAAATTTTCGTCGGTCTAAACGCGTGCGCTCATTCCCGACTTTGTATGCATGGCCGCGTAGTCGGTTTGTACGGGCGAACTCAAAGAAGTCCTCTGCTCTTAATGAGCAACCCTGGCCGCGAACAATCCGGAAGGTCCAGAGTAGACTGCAGTTTATTTGTCTATAAGAGAGAGGGAATAGGCCAAGCAAATTCAGCCTCTCCTGATAAGACAAATACTTCAGACCGTCGACCATCTTTGTCGCTCTGCGTTGCACCTGTTCGAGTAAGTTGATATTCTTCCTCATCCATGGTGAGGCTGCTGGCATTCCATACTCTAGATGAGGTCTTACAAAGACACCAAAGAGTCTTTCGAAAAGTTCGGGAGGAAATATTTTAAATGCACGTCTGATCCAGTGTAGAGTACTAGTTGCCTTCTGGACCATCTTTCTGCAGTGTTCTGATGGCGATAGACTTGTGGTCGTCCATACATCCAGATCTCTGTGTCTTTCCACAGTTTCTAGCCTCGTCCCGTCAATATAGTACTGGTGTTTGGGAGAGGCATTGCGGCCGGTGTTCAGGTGCAAAACCACGCATTTGAACACGTTACACTTCAAAAGCCACCTGTTCGACCAAGCACACAGTTTGTTGATGTTCGACTGCAACTTCTCTGCGTCATCATCGCATTTGACTTCACTCCATATTTTTATGTCATTCGCGAACATGAGAGCCTCGCAATTCACTTCGCTGATGCAGTCATTAACATAAATCAGGAAGAGTACTGGGCCTAAGACAGAACCCTGTGGGACACCACTTTCCACCTTTACCCGTTCCGAGGTAGAATTACTAATGACGACTCTTTGTAGTCTGGAGGACAGAAAAGATAGATAGGTTCAGTTCAGTTCAGTTTATTGAGGAAAATAGGCGTAAGCCTTTGAGTACCCTATTTGCAACGTAAAAATTGTGTGGTGTACAGATAGATGTTCTGGGCTGAAATAGTTCGAACACGCCCATAATGGTGGGACAAAATGAGGACGAGTTACAGGAGGTGAGCTCGACTTCTCATCGCTCTTGGTCATTTCGAAACATGACTATGTCCAGATTCTTCTTAAAACTTTGTATAGATGGTGACATCGCAACATCTGCGGGAAGCTCATTCCATGGTTTGACCACCCAAACCGAGAAGGAGAACTTCCGCACATCCAGCCGTGCCTGCTGAGTGCGCAGTTTTAACGGGTGACCTCGGAGGTTGGTCGTGGTAGCAAATTCAAAAAAGTCTTCGAAGGCCAGACTGCAATCTAACCCCTTTATAATGCGGAAGGCTTGCAAGAGATCTCCGCGAAGTTGCCTGTAACTCAAAGGAAAGAGGTTCAGATTTACTAGGCGGGTTGCATAAGGAAAGGACCTTTGACCCCTAACCATATTTGTGGCTCTCTGGACTCTTTCGAGGCAGTTTTGATCCTCAACAGCCCACGGCCTCCAAGCTTGTATGCCGTACTCTAAATGCGGCCGGACGAATGTTCCGAATGTCTTAGAGAAAGCTTCTTCGTCAAAGTCCATAAACGCACGCTTGATGGCGTACAGTACGGACTGCAGCGTATCCTGCCGGGGCCGTCAGGACATCATGCCACAAACGCGTGACAAACGAACGATCAAGGTCATGGCCCCCTGTTCACACCGTCTTTGTGCTGATTGGCCACCCATCAACCTATGACAGTCCCCCTTGCCATATACCCGGCCGTTTCCACAAGCCTCCAGACTTGTGCTGTCTATTGTACTCAGTACACGTCCTATTTTCAATTAGCCTTCTGTTTTGCATACATAACACGGACATTGCGCTTTTTGCCACCCTCGAACAGTGGGTGGATGATTTTAGGGAACTCGTCGTCAGCACACCGAGGTCCCTTTGGGCTTCGACCTCTTGTAGGACTGCACCGCCCAGAAAGTAGACTCTTGTGCTGGCGGATCTGGCTGTGTTGCCGAGGCGAAGTATGCTACATTTGGCAGCGTTGAACCGCAGGAGCCAACGGTTGAACCACTCCTCCAACCGATTCAGGTTCATCTGCAGTCTGTCTTCGTCGGTAGGACCCCGAATTACACTCCATATCTTCATGTCATCCGTAAACATTGCTACTTCACAG